GATAATGTCCCGCTGTAGTTTGGAGAACGTGAGACAGTGTCTCCTGTCCTCTGTCAGATAATGTTTGTGAGTCATTCTTCATGTGTGTGTTCTGTGAGCGGGAAAGAGTTGTAATAGATCGAGTCTCATGCTTGTGGCTTGAAAGAATAACGTAACCTTTTAGACTCGATGTTCATGATATGGTCATTTTTACTTCCCACGTGCAACAAGCTGCAATACATCGAGTATATTCGATATATCGCCCACCCCAATTCTCAGACACGCTTTCTTGGAAGACCTTCATAATGTTGCACTCACTTGTTCACATTCAAAGTGATGGAAATAGTTGTGTGAAGGGTAAAAGAAGTGCTAGCCAGAGAAGTTCAAACCCTCGCTCCTCTTGCATCTCCACGCAGCTGACCAATCACTGAGTGAACTGTCTCATGGGACTCGGTGGGAAGGTGTGGAAGGAGGGGCTCTCTGAAGCTATTCAACCAATCAAAAAGCACATTTGAAGAAGCAGCTTACAGTACAAAACACTGTCAGGCGTCAAGTGTCGGAGCACTGCATCATTTCATGGTCACAACACACACTGGATGTGTCATACAGATGGAAGAAGTGGTCAGGGTACAGGAGCCAGGATGTGCCAATCCAGGAAGCAACTTTGCTAAAAGTGCTGTTTTTCCTGTGAGCTGACAAACGTCATTGCTTGGAAGTAGGACAACGATGCATCATGCTGATTTGTCAAGACTCTGCTTTGTGCTGCTTGCATGCAAAAACAATGGGCTTGGTGTGTGTTGCCTTCAAGAGTCTATAGCCATGCTGCCGGTTCTGTGAGACTGAGGCACAGTGGTGCTTTGAGCTAAATGCCAGGGGGATATGTGATCTACTTGGGGAATAACAAAGGACAGAAACGCACCATGCTTCTTTTCTGATTATTTTCAGGTTTAGGTGAAAATGTTAGATTTTCATTGTGGTCTCAGACTTTTGAACCTGCTGTGTGCTTATGTCTCAGTATATTGAGGAGCAGTCTAATTTAAAACACCCATGGCCTTCAAGGGAACTTAAGGTATCCATTAAGGCTAGGGCTGGGCTGTATTCGCGGTGACGGTAACTTACCACAGTAAGCATGAGCCGCGGTACTGCTTTTGTGGTTACCTTCATACCGGGGGGGCCCGGCAGCCGGCCTGCCTGCCTCACGCACCTCCCTCGCTACGTGATGGAGGTGGCCTGGCCGACTGCACCAAACCCAGGCCCGTGGAGAAGGGGGCCCGGGAGCCGCCGGCCCTCCCTCTTCCCTCTAACGTTTATACATACTATATAATGTTTTATACACAATAATAGATGGATTAGCAACTGTTTTACTTCTGACAATAAGTAGTTTCCATCCTAGCTTTTTAAATTGTTTTATTTAAAGTGTAAAAAAAAAGAGAGAAGACGATACCGCGATATCATGCCGTCACCGCATTCCCCCAAAATAATACCGTGATACTGATTTTAGGCCATACCGCCCAACCCTAATTAAGGCCACACCAAACTTTTGACATATTTTGACGGCCTAAAATGAGGGACTTGACTTTAATTTAAATTAAAATGTTCTCACTTAAAGGCGCTGTATGTAAGAATGTGGCCAAAACGGTTACTGCACTCAAACTCAAAATACTGCCGCGAGTCATGTCTGCCCCCCCTCCCCTACAGATTCGAGGTTGCTGCTCTGTGCTGAATTGCTGCGTTGTACTCTGGCGTCCGGCAAAAATAGAAGTCCTGCGTATCTGTTGCGGAGGGCTCCGGAGTGCCGCAACTGTGACAGAGCCGGAACGCAGCACCGCCGCAGCCGGTGGAAGCACACACATTGACTAGAACTGAATCCTATCAGCTCCGCTGCCGTTCCGGAGCGTAAACGCAACCAACACGTATGTGGTGGAAATTGGGGGTGATTTGTTTGCCCACGGGCGGCTGCCGTGGCAGGGCCGTGTCGCCGCATCCTTGATCTTCGGTTTTCCAGCGGACTGTTCGAGCAAGTCCGGCTTCTCTGCTGCTATGTTAACAGGATACAGCTGAGGAGGAGCCGGCTGCTAATGCTGCTTGTCGTGCTGCTAACATTTGTTTCTCAAAAAAATCAGTCGGGTCGATGACCCACCTGCACATGGGCACAGTTTAACAGTTTAAAGTATTCGAAATGTCCATCCCCGTCAAGTTATGATGCTAGTTAGCCAACTTTGGCTAAAGCTTACCTGTCGAGGAGAAGAGTAGCCACTTCAACATCCGATTTCAAATTCTTCTCCACTTTCAGCCGTCTCCACCGTTCAAAAGCATCTCCTATATAGAGCCTCAAGTTTTGTCTTGGCGTTTTTGGGAATCATAACGAGGTCGTTTGGGCAACCCGCTGAGACTCTACTGACTGCGTGACTGGTAGACGGCGGTGGGTGGTGCAACAGGCCAAAACACAAATTCAAAACATAAACATGATTTGCAGACTGTAATTTTTTAATTTAAATGCAAATATTCTGGCTGTACTATTGTTGTCGGTGAGATCAGTGTGTTATATGAACATTATTCCTTAGTCTCTGTGACATATTAGGAGGATTTTACGACTATTTGCTTTAGATTTCTTACATATAGCTCCTTTAACTCTGAGTTGTATTAAAATTATATGGAACGAGGATTTGGTTGACTTAAAAGAGACATTTACCCTGCTTTGTGAGCACAGAATAAACTCCCATGAAAATTAAAAAGAGCAGCAGCACCATAACTTTAATCAACGTAACTTGGTTTAGGCCATAACCATAAAACTCACTGACTCCTTTCCTATGGCCAGCAGACCAGACGTGTGCACACAGCTCTGCAGGAGACGAATATGCCTTTCTGTGTGCATGTGAGTTTTTTTGGGTTGTCACAGACAGGCTGGAAAACAGGTTAGTAAACAGCAGGAAGCAGAACACTCTAGTGATTGCTTCTTTTCATAAATCTTAAAGTCTCTTGTTCAGTCTCTTTCTGTCCCAGTGCAGACTAATTTGAATAGATATTTGAGTGCTGTTTGGGCCTATTTTGTGGCATCCTGTCATTGCATCTTGCCAGTTGAGGGGCCAAAATTAGCATGTTCACCCAGGTGTTGTATTTCCATCCCTGCTTATCGGAGCTGGAGTCAGTGAATACCCCGACTACGGCAGTCATTTGACCCAAGTGTAAATGCCGGCTCTTTTTTTCGTTTGCATTAAAAAGCCAGATGTTGGCAGGTGTCAGAGGTTTTTGTGTAGTGGCAAAGGGGCCGTAGAGATGGGACAGGTGCATGGAATTAGCCTACACACAGGGGGATAACGGCACAGACTTTGAGGAAGTCTCCCATCAGAGACGTTCCTGGTGTTGCACTTTGTTGTTTACGTGAAAAGTGACAGAACTTGTAGAACATCACTGTGCTAACAGCGACATCGTCTCATTGGTCCAGAACACGTCCCTGGCAGATGGAGGTTCCATGCCCAACTCTCCCAGCTCCATGGTCAACCAGTACACACTACAGGAGGAGGAGGAGGAGGAGGAGCAGGATGCCAACACCAAAGACATCTTCATCACTGTGGATAACCCAGAGAGCCATGTCACTGCCATCGAAACCTTCATCATGTACAGAGTGGTGACCAAGGTGGAAATGTCTGACTGTACATTGCCAACTGGCTAAGAATGAGTATAGTATATATATAGTATATATAGGAGGAGTATATTCTGCTGTGTTGATACTGATCTGTGATTTCTCTCTGCAGACCACGCGGGGTGAGTTTGACTCCAGTGAGTACGAGGTACGCCGGCGCTACCAAGACTTCCTGTGGCTCCGGAGCCGACTGGAAGAAAACCACCCGACACTCATCGTCCACGTACGTATCAGCACCACCATCACCACAGCAGCTGCTGAACACATCTGTGGCCTGCTTGGACCGTACCAGAAGTTTTGGATGTTTCAGCTCATTTTCCACAAGTCACACATACTGAACATTACTGCCAACCACTTTCCAAAGCACTCCGTGGAGTTTCAGGGTTTTAAAGATAATTTTCTTTCCGTCTAGGATTCCTTTGGTTTTTCATTCATTTTCATACAGTATGAAAATCAGCTTGTGTCGACCAGAAACTGACATATTTCATTTTGAAATATTCAGAGTTGTCAGTACATGTGACGGAGATGTATACAAAAGCATTAATCTGATATTCACAGGTCATGTGCTCTGAACAATTTTTTAATGGGTTTTTGAAACTAATTTATTTTCATCTTTACCTCCCCTCATTGCAGACACAGTCTCCTTGTCCAAAAATAGATACTTCAGACTAATTAAACATTCGTCTTCTCCCTCCTGTTATAAACACAAAAATCAACCCAGTCCTCTAGTTTTTAAAGAAAATCACTTACATCCTGTTCTGTTTTGTGACAGCCGTGGCCCGAGGCAGAATGTTTTCAGGTTGTCCCTCTGCATGTACGTCCGTCCAGTCCTTGTAAACACGATATCTTAAGAATGACTGAAAGGGATTTCTTCAGATTTGGTACAAATGTCCACTTGGACTCAGCAGTGGTCAAAGGTCAAGGTCACTGTGACCTTGCATCCATCTCATTCTTGTGAACGGGATATCTTAAGATCAACTTGAGGACATTTCTTCAATTTGGCACAAACATTCACTTCAACTTGATGACCTCATTAGATTTTAGTGGTCAAAGGTCAAGTTCACTGTGACCTAGTCTGTGTCATTTTTGTGAAAATGATGTCTTAAGAACACCATGAGGGAGTTTTTAAATATTTGGCACAAATGTCCACTTTGACTCAACAATGCACTGTTGGAATTTTGCTGGTCAAAGATCAAGGTCACTGTGACCATGCATCTGTCTCATTCTCGTGAACACCTCAAGGCCACTTGGACTGAAGAATAAACTGATTAGAATTTTGTGGTCAAAGGTCAGTGTGACCTTATGAAATATTATTTTTGCCATAACTCAAGAATTCAAATGCTAATTATGACCAAACTTGACACAAATGTCTGACAGGATAAAATAATGAAGGTCAAAAGGTCAAAGGTCAGCTTGACTGTGACATCATCATGTTTTAACGTCATATCTCAGGAACAGAAGGGGAGACATTTGGTCAGATACTGAATTGGTGACTCTAATCTTGAATCTGTGCTGATTGTATAGATCTTCTGTGTGTGAAGCATCCATGTTTTCACTGACATGGATGGAGACTGTCAGAGACACTGGACTGGTGGGCGGAGTCATACAACCACAGGGTGGACTGGTGGGCGGAGTCATACAACCACAGGGTGGACTGGAGGGCGGAGTCATACAACCATGGGGCAGTAAATCTAGTTAATGTTAAGAATTACATGCCACACTTTCGGGACGTTATTAATAAACATTTAGATAGTTCATCATTGATATTTGTGAATCAATGCCGAGTCGTTCCCATCTGCATCATGAAGCATCTTAAAATCTCCTACCTTGCACACATGATAGGACTGAATTTGTGTCTCGCTGTTCCAGCCGCTGCCTGAGAAGTTTGTGATGAAAGGTATGGTGGAGCGCTTCAACGACGACTTCATCGAGACCAGGAGGAGAGCCCTGCACCGCTTCCTCAACAAGATCTCTGAGCATCCCATACTGTCCTTCAGCCAACACTTCAAAGTCTTCCTCACTGCACAGGTCTCTTTCTCACACACACAGACACACATTCTTGTGCTTCTGTCCTTTTGTGGACCCTGATTGACACATTCCCTAGCCCCTTTACCGTAAATGTTTATTATTATTGAGGAAGGAGGGGTGGTGCAAAAAAAGGGGAGGCAGAGGGCGGGACTTATGTTTTTTATTTTCACTCAGGGGAGTGGCATACAAATTTAAATGGCTGTGTTATTATGTTACCATCGGTTTTTAAAGAAAACATGCTCTTCAGATTTTGGGGGGAGGTGTGGATTCACATGAACGTACATGAATACGCAGCCGGACCGGCTTGTAAACAATGGGCTGGAGATCAACACAGAGAGAGGGTGTGTGAGGTCATGCTATACTCCAGATGAAATTATACCTCTAGTTTTTCACATAGCAATTTTTTAATTCCTTCAATCTAGAAATTATGAATTTCGCTTATTGCTCCTTTAAAGAAAATATTCCTTCCAAACCTGCACATTTTTACTATAAAATTGTAACTTAACTTAAATAAAATAACTTATAAAACATAATTAAATCTCATCTTAAATTAATGGTATTTTATCAAGATTACTTTATTCTATAATAAACTTCTTTAGTCTCCTTTCCAGCCTGTCTGTGACAAACCTTTAGTCTCCAACAAGAGTGAAAACTGAGGCTTTTGTCAACTCCATGAATTCTTCTTCAATTTTTAACATTCAAACATCAAAGGGTAAGTTTTAAAACACTAATAACTGATTTAAGGTGAATGGAGGGTCCTGCATTTTCCCTCAGCAACTCAGGGACCTAAACCGAACTGTAACCTGAACCCCAAAACCAAGTCTTAACCCTCAAACAGGCCAATGAACAAGTGAAGACTGGCCAGAATGTCCTCACTTGTCAAAAATATCCTCACTCTGCTCTTAAAATACATGTTTTGGTCCTCACTATGTATCATGTACAAGTATACACACACATAAACAAGGATATGTTGGTTCAAGAAATCGGTTTTACAGAGAAAGCTTCTTACTCAGACTGTAATAATCAGTTATTCCACTACCCAGTGTTACATAATTAAGCATAATATACACTACAAAAAAAAGAAAGAACTCTGCCCTGAGACTACAAACTGTGCTTACTGCATTTCTGTTTGTGTACAGTTTAAACAAATGAGATTCAGCATGTAAATCAGTGAGCTGTAGAGCTGTTAGTAGGAAGGTTATGCTAGGCTAGGCTAACCACATCCTGGCTCCAGCTTTAGTCAGCCCCCTGAACTGTACTGTGATATCCATCGTCGTATCTCACTCTCAGAAAGAAAATATTTTCCATAATGTTGCACTGTTTGCTTAATGCCTATCATGTTAAATTGAGCTTGTAACTGTGCGTTCACACCGGGCGCGAGTGAAGCGAATTACTTGCGCATAACGCGAGTAACGCGCCATGCGTAACGCATGAGTTTGGACGCCGGACCATTTTGTTAATTCGCATTATTGCGTCAGTTACACGAGTAGCGAGTCCGCCCATTTTCACTACATAACAACATCTGGCCCGCCATTCTCTCCTCAACCATGGCTGACCACCATCACTGCTTTGTACCTGCTCTGGAAGTCCCAGATGCGTCGGAGGGCCAAACGCCGTCGTTTTTGGGTTCACCCTATCCTGCAAAAGCGCATCCAGCTCGGCAAGTTTCACCACCTCCTCCAGGAACTCCGTCTGGATGATAGCCGCTTTCAGCGGTACTTCAGGCTGACTGGGGCCCAGTTTGAGGACCTGTTGGCGAGGGTTGGCGCCAGGATCTCCCGGCAGGACACCAACTACAGGCGCTCCATTTCAGCTGCGGAGCGCCTGTCCATCTGTCTCCCTGGTGAGTAGCAGTTTATTGTTGTGTCAACAACTGGACGTCAGTGGTGTCAAGACGTCGGGAGAATCTCAACGCTGACTGGCTTTCGCGGCACAGCGTCACGCGAATTCGCCTCAAAAGTTCAATATTTTCAACTCGAGTGATGAGGTGATGGACGCGAATTTCGCAGCTATCGCGCCTACGCATTTATCGCGTCTATCGCGTCGCGCTAGACGCGTCCATCGCGCCGTCCAGCATGAATTCGTGTCTAATTGCGTCTTTGCATTGACTTTGTATGTAATCTCAACACGCGAATTCGCGCTCGGTGTGAACGCACAGTAAGACTTTAAAGCAGAATGTAATATTTCCCCGCTAAGCTGCAGACATGTTTACTGTTTGGTGTCATGGAGCCAAATAGTTGCAGCTCATCTCAAATCCTCTCTTTATTCTGCATTGTTCCTCCAGTCGGGCATCATATTTATGGTCTCTTAAAATCAAGTCATACTGCATTCAGACCAGTATGAACATTTTTAGGAGCTTGATCAACATTGATGCACCTCTTAATCAAAGTTGCGGTGTGTGACCCCGACAGGAGTTGCAGTCTCATAAGAAACAGGGTCCAGGCTTCCTGAGCAGGATGGGGGACACGGTGAGGGCGGTGGCCAACTCGGTACGAGGCCTGAGGAGCCGGCCGGAGGAGTTCACTCAGATGCAGGAGTATGTGGAGGACTTCAGTAACAAGATCTGCTCTGTGGATAAAGTCACCCAGAGGATCATCAAGGAACAGAGAGGTACTGCAGCAGGCACACTGAGGGGTTCATTTACAGAATGTAAGACTTCTAGATACTGTGTTGAAACGAAGCAAGGCCAAAATTGAGTCAAGTCAAAAAATAAAAATAATGGAAGATGAAGTTGAACTTTGTTGACCCATAAAAAAGATGGAAAACAAATCAAATCAAATCTAAAAATGACATATCCATAAGTATGTTTTTTACTTTCTGGTTGTTCTCATTTCATGTACAAAATGTCCCTGATTTTCTAAACTAACATTAAGTGGGGCTGTTTGATCAATTCAGGACTCTGTTATCAATAATAAGCCGGTTGAAGAACACACTCCATTTGTGTCTCTGTTGTAGCTGTCTCAGGTTAAATGATTTTAAATTCAGCTTTTACCATTTTATCTGTCTGTCCAATGTAAACCATTCAATATTTGGGTGTCTTGATACATTAATGATGTTTTTCACCAGCCCCTTTAATTCAGTTTAATTGTGGTGTGCCACAAGGGTCCATCCTTGGTCCACCCCTGTTCCCTGTGTCCATGCTGCCCATTGGCCACACAGATTATTTTTTTGGTCCCGACACTGCTATGCACAATCACTCAAATGAAATAAAAAATAAATAAATAATTAAAACTGTTGAACAGGCTTTTGAGCTCTATGTGAAGTAGGGCTCCACAGTTCATTGAATATTAATCATGATCACAATTTAGGCTCTCCACAATTCTCTCTCGCTCTGCTCGTAGAAACTTCTGCTGTATATCAAATCAGGCGCTTCCTAAACTAACGTCCGTGGCAGCAGTCACACTCCTGTGGATGCGCACTGCACCAGCAGCCTATGAAAAACTGTCCTGAATGTTGCAGCTGCAGTCCAGAGCAAAAGAGAAATATAGAACCATAGACTGTATAAAAGCGGGCAAAACCAAAATCAAATGTCTGAAGCAGAAGGCGAAGAGCTGGTCCCTCTATACAGATCATCATCAGTTATCTGGAAGTATTTAGCACTTAGTGTACAACAGACTTGTGTCTGTGTTGCAAAGCAACACGACTAACTTGTTCAACCACATGAAACAGCACAACAGACTGTAGTAAGATGAACACATGAAGGCCAAGAGGAATAACGCTGCAAAGGTTGCCTTACTGAATCCCCGTCCTCGTCCAGGATTAAATCAGGACATCGACTGGAATAACTGGAGTTTTGACAGATCTGCACCTCAGAAGGGGTTCTAGAAAATCTAATTTTGGTGACCTAAACCTCTGTTTGTGTGGACGAGAGGCCAAAACAAAGAGAAAATATGCGCTCACCAAAATGTCTGTCTGTGTGTAGACAGGGCCTAAATGTGTCCTCTGTGCTTCCAGAGTATGTGGATGAGCTGAAGCAGTGCAGCCCCACCTACACCCAGTGGTCTGGGTCAGAGGAGGAGCTGGCGGAGTCTCTGAAGGGTGTGGCCGGCTGTGTGGAGCAGTGTAGTAAAGAAACAGAGGAGCAGATCCACCATCTGTCTGAGGTGCTTGTGCCCGCTCTGCATGAGTACGTCCTCTGTGCTGAGACCCTAAAGGTGAGCCCAGACCACACCTCACAACACAAGACACTGTTGGACAGTGGCTCCCAACTGGTGGGTCAGGGTCCACTCTGAATGGACCGCAAGTGACTCGCAAATGTGTCAGGTTTGTAAAAGAATGGAGCATGACGCAGAATACATTAGACTGTGACCCAAAGGCTGAACCAGTTGGGAGCCACTGCTGTAGGAGACCTGGAGGAGACTTCTCTGCTGGTTCATATGTTGAGCTGGGGCCTGTTTTATGAAAGATAATTGATAATAATTGATTTATTAACCGAAGCGTGTCCGACTCCAAACAAAAAACACTGCAGAGGTCCTGCAAAATGCAGCACAAGAATTGGGATTGTGGTTGTAACAGACAACACTATTAAATGGGTGGTGTAATTATAGCAGCATACCTGCATCTAAAGTGTTTGGCTCATCTGACCTCTCAGAGGGCGTTAAATGTGCCCACAGTTCAGTCTGTCAGGTGTGTGCAGCAGTTCTGACAGGTGTTATGACGGTGTTGGTCAGTGTGTCTGCTCTGTGTCACATTTTGCTGCAATAAAAATGATTAAAGTCGATGAACAGACTGAAACTTTATCTCAGGAGGTCAAACTGATGTTGAAGTTTTCCTTTGTGGAAATAATTTTCAATACTCAGCTTATCGTGATGTCGCATTAATATTGTATTGTGACTGAAGTTGTGATAATATCAAATCATGGGCCCTCTGCTGATTCCTATCCCTGGTAATTTGCCTGACCCTTTAGATGCACTGGGAACACAAACAGAAATGCATAACAAGAAGTTTGTTCCAGATTATTTGCGCCTGAGTTTATTTCCTGAGACTGTTTGGTGGACAGAGATGTTAGCTGCAGGTTCTGTTGTCTCTTTTTTTTACGTTATCTTCTGTTGAGCACATTACACTTAAAAACACTCACCAAGGTGCCTTGTTGTGGGAAACCTGTCTTAGGCCGTGATGAGACGGAGAGACAACATCCAGGCCGAGTTCGAAGCCAAGAGCGAAGCCCTGGCATCCAGGAAAGTCGACCAAGAAGCAGTGAGTGCAATTTTACATCCACACACACACACACTGACAGAAAATAAGACACTCACACTCCCCCTCATCCCTCAGTGCATCCCTCTGAGCCAGTCGATGTGTTTGTGTGTCCTGCAGTCATCTTCCCAGAGATTAGGTGCAATAAAGTGAAGCATGGAGTGGGGCCTCTCCCACAGGGCCAGCCTCGGCTCATATTGGGGAGGAAACAGGGCTTCCTGGGAGGATTATCTAAATATCCTGGCTGGTCGCCTGCAAGTCAGTCCTCAGCTCAGTGGAAATAAGAGCTGTCAATATTATTTCACACTGTAAGCCCAGCAGCTAATCGCGGCGTAATGAAAATTCCCATATCCTCTATAGATGGAGACTCGCTTCAAAATGTCAGGAGACAAAGAACCAAGACGGAAAGTTAGGCAAGCAAAGGACACAGCTATTTTTGGTCACTTTACTGGAGGTGTTTGTGTCTCTGAGCATGTTGTGTGTGTGTGTGTGTAGATTTGCAGGTGTGTATCCCCCTCACCCGTATCAGAATCCATCTGTGAGATTTTAATTAAGAAGCAGGACAGAGATTTTTCCCCACAGATGTGTATTGTATTCACGCTTTAATTAGCTGTGTGTGTGTGTGTGTGTGTGTGTGTGTGTGAGAGTGTGTGAGAATGGGGCGGCTTTAATTCAGTCATCCAGCCTCTAATGCATATCAGTCTGCTTCTGCCTTTAACAGATCTGCACTAATGAGAAGGGAAATGTCAAATAGTTCCTTTGTTACGGTTTCCAACTGAGCTTTCTGTCAAAGAAACGCCGCGGCCACACGCTGGGCTGAATGAGAGCTCAAGAAACACACCGGCTTCCATTCAGCTTTTATATGACTTCATTCATTTATCAGTTATGTGGTAAAAAATGTTGATTTGCAAGACGTTGTCATTTGAGGAATCAGGAAGGCCACCTGTGTTAGCAGATAAAAAAAACTGTATTTCTGAGGTCGTCTTCATGAATCTTTTGACCCATAGACTCCTTTGTAGTTGATCCGTGTCCCAGCTCAGCAGGACGTACTACTGTTACTGTATTGACAGGAAAGATCAGCCAGTAAACCTGAAGGTTTCTGAGTACATTGATGTGTAAAAAAGGAAAAGTTTACACAACTAGTCCATAGCCATTGGTAGCTTTGTCACCTTCTACCTATGCCAGTCCTCATTGCCTATGTGCAGTTTCACATAGATTGACCACGTCAGTGAGTAGAAAAACGTGGGACAGACAGAATGACTGACTGACAGAATGACACACTGACAGTTTCCGTGATTATGTACAGCATACCATACCATGACTTAGTCATACCAAACATTAGAAAACAACACCAACACTGGTCCACAGGGGGAGCCACAGCGATCGGTCGCATTTTAGCCATTTTGAAGCATTTTTCTGTTGTTATAGCGCCACCCAGTTGCCAATTAGAGTTAAATTTCTCCAGTCACCTTGAGGCGTCCTGTTCTACATATCTACCAAGTTTAGTAAAAATCCATATGGCGGTTAGGCCTAGATAAGAAATGAGCTCTCTAGCGCCCCCATTTTGTTTGATGGGGTCAATAATGGAGGGGTCCCCTCAGATTATGTGTGGTCATATGCCTACAAAGTTGCGTGGTGATGGTTGAAACCCTTGAGATGTTATACACCTTTATGTGATGAGCCACGCCCTCCGCAATATTCATTGCCTTATAGAAGCTCAGTTTTAGTAAGTTTTCCAACTTTTGCCAAGAGGGAACTTTAGATATTGGTCCCTAGATTATGTTCACCCAGTTTCATGCAGATCGCTCAAACTTCCTAGGAAGAGATCCATTTGAAGTGTTTTTCAAAAAATTCAAAATGGCGGAAAATCTATATAAGCGGAAGTTATGGGTTCTTGAGGCAAATGTGTTCCTCATGAGGAGAGGCATCTCTGTGCAAAGTTTCATGTCTCTACCACATACTGGGCATGAGATATGCCCATTCAAAGTTTGACATTTCAATGGGTTGCTATAGCGCCCCCCTTTGGCCAATTGATGTAATATTGCTTCATTGGCATCCTCCCATGACCCTCTACCACTGTGCCAAATTTCACATGGATTGACCAAGTCAGTGAGGAGAAAAACGTGGAACATACACACAGAGAGAGTTTTCATCATTACATAGTAAGATAAGAAAATGTCATATCTATTCAATTGAACAGGATCTATTTGCAGGACATTTAACATGTGTTGCCAAAGCACAAATACAATTAAAAGGCAGTGAATACATTTACAACTGCGGGTTGTCTGTCCGTTCATCCCGTTCTTGTGAAGGTGAGATCTCAAGAACGCCTAAATTTGGCTCAAACATCCTCTGGACTCAACAACTGATTGGATTTTGGAGCACTCTGTCACTACGGAGACACGCTGTTGGGACACATCACAATGTGTCTCATTGTCTCGCTGGAATAAGACGGGACGTCCCTGAAAAAGACGTCGTCTGGATGGCAGTATATGTTGCTCCAAAACTTGTGTGTACCTTTCAGCATTCATGGAGTCTTCACAGGTGTGAAGTTACCCATGATGCACCTCCATCACATCACAGATGCTTTGAGCTGGTAACAGTCTGGATGGTCCTGGAGGACAGGACATCCATGATGGACTGGTCAGACCTGAGAGTCTGAGAGGTCAAAGGTCATTCAGTGATGGATTTCAGTCTCACTCCTTACGTGCAGATATTTCTCCAGATTCTCTGAATCTATTGATGATATTATCGATTGTAGATGGTGGAATCCCCAAATTCCTTGCAGCTGTGCATTGGGAAACTTGGTTATTAAACTGTTGGACTGTTCGCCCACGCAGTTTTTCACAAAGTGGTGAGCTTCACGCCGTCCGTGCTGGTGAGGGGCAGAGCCTTTTGAGGATGCCCCTTTCAGACCCACTCATGATTCATTAAATCTGATTACCTGTGGAATGTTCCAGGTGATTATTGAGAATTTCACAACTTTCCCAGCCTCTTGTTTCCCCTGTCCCAAACTTTCTGAAGTCAGAATGAGTGTATATTTACAAAAAAACATACAGTTTATCAGTTAGGACGTTTACATGCACGCAGTAGTCGAGCTAAGCTCATAGCTTGGCTAATCAGTCAAGTCGGACCTCTCGTGTTGTCTGAATTTACATGCAGAAGAGAAGATCGAATTTCTGACCAAGTACATCTGACTCCGCCTTGATATGCAACGCAGTGTCCTTTTTAATATAGTGCATATTAAACTAGTTCAGGTTCTTTCAGAAGTTTCAGAAACTTTTTAAAATAAATCAGTGTTTCGTGTTTTCCAACCGTCCATAAGCTTCAAAATGTTTAGCTCCTTTAGCTGTTGGAGCTTGAATGTAGTTTCCTCGTCCGTCCAGAAGTGCGTCGTCTTCTCGGTTGCCGCGGTGTTTGTTTGTTTTTCCGGGAGTTACTGCACTGCTGAGACATCATCAAGCCCGCGAAAGAAAAAGTGGTACATGCGCAGAACGCCGAGTCCGACTCCAGTCAGATTAAGCTGTTTACATGCATTTAAAAGTCCGGTTTCAGCAGGACTAAGCCAATAATTCAGTTTTCTCAAGCTGCATGTAAATGTACTGAGTGTGAAGATAAATATCTCGGTCGCTCAGACCACGTATTGAAGTCAGGGTTAAGCTCAGGTTGTAAACTTTTGAACACATTTGTAGATGTACTGTGGATTTTGTTCCCCATCACCTCCATGAGAAGCACTTTAGGAAGGGATCCCTTCACAGCCAGTATAAACAGGAGGAATGATCACAGCAAGAAAAACTGTTTCAGTGTTCATATGTGAACATAAGACTGACTCATTTTTCCCTTTTAGCAGTGGGGGGGGGGGAAACGCTCTCTTTATTTTGAAACTGTGCTTCTGTACATTGGGTTTGGTGGGTTGGGTAGGTAACATCACAGAGGCTGCTAGCAGGCCTTTAGATCTGAATTCTTTCCCTCTCATGTGATCCGCATCATATGTTTTCTGACGCGACCAACAAATAGCTGAATGGACTTGTATTTTTAGATGTGGTCTGAAAGGCCTGCTCGGCTGAAGGGCTGCAGCGGTGCAGAGCTGGTCTGTCTATTCAGTGATAACTGGAAGGCACATTCCATGACCGAGCTGCCTGAAACTAAACACGTGACGTCTTTTGTCATCATCACTGTGCAGCTATGTGTCTTTAGAACGCTGCTGTCTGTGCTTTATGCTATCAGATCTGGAGTACAGGCTGGAAGAGACAGAAAGAGTCGTCCAGAAATGTCAGGTATGAGCTGTAAGTCCAAACTGTACTGACCAATTTGAGATGAGAATCTCTCTGAACTACAAACAACACAGAATCAAACTCTCCCTTCTGTTAACATTTACCTGACCTTTATTGGAAGTAGAATACTGAGCTTTTTGGGTGAGTCAACATTTCCAGAGACAGACTGAATGTGTTTCTATGACACAGCCAGGAGGGGGCGGTGTCGCTCTAATGTAGCAGCACACAGTGAGGAACCAGGAGGGTTTCACCAAAGCATGTTGCACTATTATGGAGTGAGCTCGTTTAGTTAACGTCTCTCAGCATGAGGTTGAGTATGTTTAAAGAGTTAGAATACTTCTGTGTGTGCACTTTTGTAGTGGTGTTAATCAGTCCAACTCATAGTAGTGTCTCATAGTTTTTTTAAGGGTTCGAATACCCTCCCGTATCATATATTATAAGTTTATCTTCATGGATGTAGTGGAACATTCTTTTTTTCAAGCTCAAAAGCAAATCAACTTTTTACAGTTGCATGGTCAGGGTGAAATGATGTTGATATTGGAGGGTCTATGCCCACCTTTCCAAATTATTTGGTGTCTTTTGGGGTCAGTCTTTTCAGTAAAACACATTTTAAGAGGATATTCTGATGTATTTTATCTATATTTTGGGTACTTCTACCCAACAAATTATCCACTTACTTCCCTTCCCAAGTGGCAGCTTAGTCACAGAACCTTCAGTGGCAGCAACAGT